AAAAATGTTCAATTTAGTTTGGTCATCCCTACCCTGGCAATTTTTTCAATATTCACTATGGAAGAGAAAAGAGGCAGCAAACAGCAGCTACTCTGATAATCAGAGAAATCCCACACAGTAAATTACTCTTTAGAAAAATGTACAGAAGCTGCAAACCCTTAATTAATAAGTAACACAAGCATGTAAAAGATTAAAAAGAAAACAGAACAGTATTTAAAACATTAAGGTCACATGGAGTACATATTCACTTTTTTAAAACAAAAGTCCTCTGGGGAAACATACATGAAATATAAAAAATGTTTTTATTTATATAAAAGCCCAAGCAGTAAGAACAAAATGCAAATGTTCTATAGAAACCTCAAACTATTTAATTTTATTGATAATGGGAGTATTACATATTATTGTAGGTCAATAATAGGACTTTTGTTTTTAAAAAGTTATGGTTAAATGGCTAGTGGAGCACTGAGACAATGCTCTCAAAAAGAAATTGCCTTTTCTTGTTAGACAAGTATTATTGCAAATATTGCTAGATTATGAATCCCAGCCTTGCTTCTATCTGCATCCAATATGTTTGAATGTAAGGCTGATACAAATGGAGCAAAACATGCAAAAATATCATTGTGGCTGAATATTTATTAAAGTAATACCTTTTATTATCTATACATTTAAGACACTATCTTAATACTACATTTATTTATTTAATATATATGCTGCCTGTCTTACTAGTCAAACTCTGGAGTTTACAGTGGCAAAAAGAATATAAAAGCACTAAAATTAACAATTACATAAAGATCACAAGAGCATGGATGGTACAGGGGTGGGTTTTTGTTTCTTATTTCATAAATCACCTGCAGAGGTGAGATGGTTCCTCAGATAATCTAATGTCATGCCATAAAGAGTTTTAAAAGTGATAACCAATATACTGAACTGGTCCCAGAACCAAACTAGCAACTAATAAAGCTTGTATAACAATGATGTTATAGAGGCCATGCAAGAGGCCTCCAGTATTGTCCATGCCAGTGCATTTTGTACCAATTGTAACTTCTGAATACTCTTCAAGGGTAGTTCTGTGTAGAGCGCATTCCAATAATCCAATTATTATCCTATTACGTCTAGGCAATAGATGTTCTTTCACAGAATTTGGACTATTTGACAATTACATTGCATAGTGACATAAGGGTGATAGAGAATACAACAAAAAGCATAGCCGTGGACTTAAGTATTTGGAAAATGTATAAAATTCCAAGGCAACAATACAAAACATAATGCTGCCCATCCCATGAATTCATGCTATTCCTACATATTAGGCATATATAAGGAATATAAACCATATGCTAAATAAACTAGGAATGTATAGTGGGCCATGATTAAAAACAATCAATATTAGACATGACTGGTTGCTAAGCACCTGGACAGCAGTTATGTGACTGTGGAGCACTCTACAATGGCCGAAATCTCAAGGATTGGTCATAATTACCACTGGTTTAGCATTGTTGCAAGTTTTAATATTTGCAAAGCAAGTAGTCATTAAATGAGGATTACCTGTATTGAGCTCAATAAGGGATCTGTTATTATTGAATAAGATGCTAAATGCCTTTACTTTATCCAAACAGCATTTGTTATAATTCAAGAAGTCTAAAGTGTATTGTTGATTTAGAAAACGCCAGACTATTTGTCCAAAATTGCCTACTCTTGAAAAGTGATTCTTCAGATTCTCGAAGTAAAATCTTTTCCATTATGTATTCTTTTAAACTGATGCCAGAGAACTGAACCTAACCTTTTTGCATGCTGAAGATATTATCTATCAGTTATAGTTCATATCCCCTCTAACACACTGATTTTCACTTGCATTATAATTCTAGATCTAGCAGTCCCAAAGTGAAAGTGATTGGTTATTTTATTTGCAGCTAGAAAATAGTATAACACAAAAACACCTATTCCAGATAGAACCATGTTGTCCAGTAGGTCTATCCAGAAAGGGGTGGTTAAAGAGTACCACTTCCAAATGAGATCAGAACAGGAGAACAAGAATAAGCTGCTGCTCTATGTCCTTTGCAATACAACAATCTGCTTCCTGAAATCTGAATGGTGTCCTCCCTGATAAACTTCCTGAGAACTCTGAAGTCAAAACTCTTTCACACAGCTTTTATTGTATAACTAGAAGGTAACATTAAGGAACACAGAGTTTTAGCAAAGGTAGATAATGTGTGCATGTTACTATTTATGGTTTTATAACTCTATAAACTGTAAGTGTACTGTCAAATACTCTTAATATATCAGTGATAGAAATACTTTTTATATTACTATATAGTGTATACACATACATAAAATTATGTATTAATTAATCATTAAGCAACTAACCCATGGGCAATTTGTTTTTAATAAGTGTAAGTTTTACACTAAAATATACAATTATTTTAAAACAGTTTTAAAGAGGTTTTCAGCAATTTTTTGTATATGAGGAAGAAATTAATCATATAATCATATAATCCAATGTATTTTCAAATATTTCAAGTGTCATCACATAGAATATGAAATATTTTCTCCAAGTCTTCTAATTTTATTAATACTATTTTATTTATCATACTGTAGTATATTACTGCACCCAAATTGCTTTTCTTTAAATTCTCTACCACTGACCACACAAATTTTCCAATTTTATGTATTATTTTATTGATTACATTTGCATATAAAACAATTCTGTAGATAAAAGCATGTTTGTTCTTTAAATAATGCACATACTTACAGATGGGTCATTTTCTTGTTTTCAACTTGCACTAAATTAGTGAAAATCTATGCAGCTCAGTAATAGAAATGGCTCTCCACATAAAGGAAATCTTTTCAACAAACTTGGACTTTGTTGGAAGTAAAACTAGTACTTCCTGAGGGCAAAGCCTGTGAACTTTTCCACTCCCCACTAAAGAGAGGAGAATGTAACATTCTAAAAGAGATTTTAAAAATCTGTGAAGTGTATTAAATTTTGGCAAAGACATTTTTAATGCTAATTTTTCTCCTCTCTGAAAAAAGTGGCTTGCGAGTAATATTATAGTACAATGTTAACATTTAGCCACTTGGCCAACAGTATTTAAAATAAAATTAGTATGATAATCAACATGTTTATTCTCCCTACCTGTAAGTCGGCATTCCCAGAAAAAAAGTAGCTCATGTTCATTAGAGTTTTCAAAAACTACTTTATCTCTGCAAATTCCCATTAATACCAGAAAAAGACATAATATATCTAGAGTGCAAACCTGGCCTTAATGAAATGTGAATTACAGATTACGACCTGTGACTGAATGACAGATTATGATCTGTGAATCTTCTTTACTCATCTAATCTCATCAGAAACAAAAAACTGGATTTTCCATCCAGACCACTATACTATTATAATCTTTACTGATCTTACAGTGGGCAAGGTATTTGCAAATCTGTAGTCAACTACTTGATAATAAGTTTGCCCTTTCTGTTATAGTGGGAAAAAACTTTAGCAAAACCAATTTCTGCCAATAAACAAAAACCCTTAAAGCAGTGTTTCTCAACCTTGACAATTTTAAGGCATGTGGACTTCAACTCCCAGAATTCCACAGCCAGCATTGCTGGCTGTGGAATTCTGGGAGTTGAAGTCCACATGCCTTAAAATTGTCAAGGTTGAGAAACACTGCCTTAAAGGAAACAGAACATATCCAAGGTGCTTTATTCATGATTGTATTTTTTTTAAATGATTTGGAAGAGGAAAAGTTTGACTGCCAATCCATGTGGAATACGGATTAATTATTTAGTAATCTAAATGTCGGTCAGCTCAGAAATAAGAAAAGGCCAAATTTAAATGCAAACTATTTCAATATAAAATACCATTATACAGATTTTATATGAAAACTTGCTAAATCAAGACATAGCAGCATAAAGTCTCCTAATAGCTATATGAGAACTACCAACATTTCAGGGATTCTCAGTTGTTTTTCCCCCCACTAAAATATATTTTCAGGGGAATTTTGTATATGCTCTTGCAAATCTATTGCTCAAATGGGAACAGAATTCAGAGCACTATTTTCATTTCAGAGTTCATTTCCTGAAAGTTCAGAAACTACTCAGGTATAAATTTATTCTAGCTTTCTATGAGTAGCTGAACTTTTCCACACAAAAAATTGCAACATCTCCATTGCTGACACACACTTATTGAAAACCACAGAGCACTTCCGGCATACTCTGAAATAATACCTGTTGGAAAAAGGAAGTGGACGAGAAAATAATCTCTTAACATAGCAATAACTGAAGAGCTCCCCAGCAAAGCTAAACAGCATCTGCCTGAAACAAGCCACAAGGGTGAAAGATTTGTTTGGAAGTCTCCTAGCCAGGTTTCTTTCTTTCAGCAAAACTACAGCGGATCCAATGGGCCGAGTCTAGTCAACAGGCTCTACCTCCCTTCCTGTTGCTTGGATTCACAGCCTTCACCTGTACCCAGTATTTATCCCACTCTCACGAGCTCAAAAAAAGACCGCTGAAGCGTTCCCCTTGGAGAGCAAAGGCGTGCATCTTTTTCTCGCGCACCCCCCATTTGTCCCTTTTCAGTATAAATTTAGACAAAGCTGTTAGGGGTTGATTTTCCACCCCCGCCCCAACAATACAGAGCCGTGAGGAAGAATACAGAGGAAAAAGGAAGCAAGCAGCTGTTCCGTGGGAACGGCCCCAGCCAGGGACCTTCTGGTCTCTCCAAATTCGAAGTAAGCCAGCAACGGAAAGGAAATAAAAGGGGGGGGGGGAACTGGCAGTCTTCTTGCATCATCACGCCTCCCACTTGGAGCAGCCCGCTTCTCCTCCGGCAGATGGAAGTCACCCCCTTCTGCCCTGAACCCCCTTCCTGAGAGGTCAATGCAACTGGCCGCCCGGGACACGCGTAGGCAAACCCTCCCCCAGGCGCCCCCACAGGATTGGCCGGGCCTCCCCCCGAGGCAGTCAGGCCCAGCCAGCAGGGCGAAGCCTCCTTCCCGTCCGCCACTTACCACGCATTTCTTTCCAAGGAAGCCGAAGAGGCTCTCGTTCTCCTGCGGGGTGAGCAGCATGGAGCCCACGTTGGAGACCCTCCGCGGCGGCGGGTGCTGCTGCTGCTGGCTGTTGTTCATAGCGGCCGCCACCGGCGCCCGGCCGGGACTGCCAACCCCTCCGCCGGCTTCGCAGCTGGCTCTGGCTCGTCTGGGGGTCAGGCCCCGCGTCCCCTGGAGGGTGGCGGCCAGAAGCCTGTCTCCCCGCGCTATTGCAGCAACATCGGGGCCGCGACCTGAGGGGGCGCCACGGCGGACCGAGGACCAACTCCTGAGGGGCTCCTGCGAGCGAGCGGAGCGGCCGGAAAGTCCCGCTCTTTGCCCTCTGCGCGCCTTCCGCCGCTCTCCCGACAGGCACTAAACTTCCAACTTCTCCCCGGCGCCGGCCGTGCAATCCAACATGGCAGGGAGCGGAGGCGCGGGCGAGACCAAACGCCGCGGAGGGATAGGGGAGGACGCGGGGTCGAGACGCCCCAGGCTGCCTGGCCCGCGTCGCCGCTTCTCGGCCCGGCGCCCCCCTGGTTGGACTCTCTTCTCCGCCGGTCCGGAGAGCGTTGGCGGGGTGGCCCGCGGCTGAGCTTCAGCGCAAGTCCCAGTGGCGAGCACAGGAGTCGTGCTTTCTGTGGCCTCCCCCGTTAAATACCGGGCGAGCCAGGCCGGGCTCATTCCCGGCCTTGTCATCCAGGAAGTCTGGATATTGGCGGTGGCGGAAGGCGGAGGAAGCGAGTGGAGATGCCGCGGGCTTGCAGAGGCGACGCGCCCCGCGATTTCTGCAATTCTACCACACAGAACTTGGGGCTGGTGGCGTGAAGCGGGGGTTTGCGCTCTTGTCACCTGCCTGCCCCTGGCTTAAAGCCTCCGACAACCCTGTAGACGTAATTGTGCCTCTAGACTGAAAATGGTTGCTGTTATAAATCCGACGATTCCTTTAATTTCTACAAAAGAGTTGGCGTACACTATGTGGTGCCTTCGATAATGGATGTTGGGCTTTGCTCACTTCGAGGCATGGCAACGTCTAATTCAAGAGTTAAGGTCCTAAATCATGGTTAAACGAGATTAAAATACCTTAAAAATGTGGGAACTCGGATCGCGTATTTCCAAATAGAGCAGAGTTTCTCAACCTTGACAAATTGAAGGTGTGTGGAATTCAGCTCACGACATGCTGGTTAGGGAATTCTGGGAATTGAAGTCTACACATGTTTGAATTGCCAAGATTGAGAAACGTGATGTTGAGGTTCTAAAGTTCCAAACGAACGGAGGGACTTATACACCGAACTGAGATAATTGTTTTGTTGTAAGTTTCATCCTTGGCTTTATGGAATTCCTGGATTTTTATCTAGATGCATCTTCATGTACTTGTGAACATTGCTTGCATCTGGCTGAGGAATTCTGGGAGTTGAAGTCCATGAATCAAAAGGGCCGAGTTTGGTTTTAATCATATAAATCACAGATGTGGCCTGTTCTGCATTGAAAAAAACCAATCTTTGAAGATACTCATTTTTGGAAGGAAACATTGGTAGTAATCTCAAACTTCAACCATGTTCAATCTGCAGTACTGACAAATGATAAAAACTAATTGGATCTAATATTTTGCATTGCTCATAAAATGGTCAGGATTATTACAGGATGATTATTACAATCTTCAAAATTCTATAGCTAATAAAAACTGTCACTATGCACAGACTACTGTAAAAATCAGAAAGCCAAAATCTCATGATACAGAGAGAGAGATTCAGGGAACAAATCCATACAAAGTTTCAATTGTTTTATGAGCCACAAAAACTAATATATGTTTTATGATACAGCTGTGCTTTTTTTAAAAAAGAAGACACAAAATGTAGTCTATTGCAGTTTATAAACTTTTATAACATTTGCCATGGCACACAAACCTAAAAGCAGTGGTTCTCCTTTATGCGTAAGGGTCCACCAAGAACCATTTAGTTATAGTACATGTCCGTGATGATAGAATTAATCACACTCAAAAACCTGTTGAATAATATGTGAGGGGGATCTGAAAGAAGGTTTCACATATCTTCATGTAACAGTTGTGATAATTTAATAAAGGTTAATATTAAGCTGACTTGTGTTACTGAGTACTGAGGAGACCAAACTGGCCTACAAGAAAGACCAAATGAAGAATAAGAAGTAGACATAGCAAGGAAAAATACATGACCAGTATAAAAGCAGCAAAGCAGATAAGAAGACCTGACAAAAGCTAAGAACAGGAAAGATGAAAGAGACAGAAGGACTAATTCTGACTGCAAGAATTAATTCAAGATTAATTAAGACTAATTCAAGACCAAATCTTGAGAACAAATACATAAAAATTGAGAAGATAAAAAAGAAACTGAATCACCCAGTTAGCTGCTGCAAGATCGCACAGACTACAAAGAATAGCGTGATGAAGTAGCAACAATGGTATGTTGGAATATTTGCAAAAAATGCCATTTTCCATCAAAAAAGTACTACTTTGTCTACTTCAAAATAGACAAAGTAATAGAAAATGAAGACGCTAAAGTCCTTTGGGACTTAAGAATTCATACAGACAACCACCTGTTACATAACTCCCCAGACTTAACAATTGTTGATATAAAGACAAAAAATGATATGGATAATGAATGTGCAGCATCTGGTGACAGCAAAATAGAGAATTGGAGAAAATCACAAAATACAAAGACCTGCACATAAAGCAACTGTGATGAAAGAAAACAAAGATACCATCAATAGTAATAAGTGCCATGTGTGCAATTCCAATAGAGCATCACTTGAACCCTATTGGCAATGACAAAATCATGTCAATGTAAGCAGCCTTACTGGATAGCTTACATCCTGCGTTAATACTTTTAATTCTATCAAACAAGAACATCTGCCTATCTCAGGTCTTTGGGAAGGACTTGATAGGTGGATAAAAATATCAATAATTATTAGAAATAATCTAATAATGATAGCTTTTTCACTGGTTCATTTCCAAAGGGAAAAAATTAAATCCTGTTGAAAAGCGTACCTTGTATCCTACACGTCCAGAGTGTTCTAACCTACATTTGCTTATTTAAGAATATTCACTATCACATTGATCTTTATAGAAATAGTGACCAAGTTCACATGTGATTCACAAAACTTTAACAGGGTCCCTGGCTATACTCACACACATCCTAGAACCTATCAACAGGCAAATTTCTAGTGATGGAAAATTGGATGCATTGGAGTGAACTTTCTCATGGAACCCCAGTAAATTCTCATGGGACCCTTGGATTCTGTGCAACCCAGGTTGGAAAGTTTTGCATAATGCTCTGTTTACACCAAAATGCTTTGGTTCTCATAAGACACTACTAAGCACATTAAAATCTGATTACTGGTTTGTTTGAAGCATTATGGCTCAGTACAACATTAGATTCCAGCTAATTTCTTCCTTGATAAAGTTAAAGGAAAGGCACAGTATGTTTCAGTGCATTTCTTTATTATATTTTTATACTCTTAGCCCTGATATTGAAAAATTAATTCTATGGATTCAGGCCTACTAAAAGTGGAGATCTACCAAGAATTCTTATCAACAAAACAAAAAAATGAGGAAAAAAGGATGAACTTAACACTGCAGTATGCTTTAATTATATTAAATTATATTATAATTATATTCAGAATACAGATAGTCCTTGATTACAGCTGTAATTGAGCTTGGAATTACAGTTGTATGTTCTGGCAGTTGACTGATTTGATGACTCTTTTTGAACACCACAGTTGCTAAGCGAACTCGTTTTCTTCAATGACCGTTTTTTGCCAGATGCTGGAAGTAAATGCCAGAAACTAGTAAAACCCACCAAAAGTCATCATCACATAACAGTGGACACTGCAAACAGCTGAATATGTGACCCACTTGCCAAGCAGCCACAACATGATCATGTGACTTCATGTGTGGCTGTTGGAAGGCTGAAACATGTAGCTTTGGGAGGAGGGTCCATTATAAAAGTAACTAAGCAAGGATTATCTGTAACAAATGTAGATACTCAATATTTGTTTATGATTTTTATAATTTCATTCTAAAATATTTTTCAAAAACATTTAAAATTATTCTAATACACCAGGTACTGTAACCAACATATTTGCATTTTATTGAGAAATTTGAGACAGGTCTGAAATACTTTGATAGAAGAGAGTGGAATTCAGTCAGGAAATACAGGATACTACAGTACAGGCAGATGCTCTGAATTGTGAAGTGAATTATACAAATTACAGAAAACATCTGTTCTGAACTTTACTAGGTAGAACACATGAGAGGATTAAAATTAGTCAGTTCTGAAATATCTTTTGATATACAAACATCCTGTAATATCTTGCCAACAAATGAAATAGTCCATTAATTTTCATTACAGATGTGTAACTTCAAAAAAAGAAATCATCCTTTTTGCAACCCTTTTTGTTTAAAAAATGGAAAAACGGATTATAAATATTTTCATTTAAAAATGTACAAATGATCAAGAGGCCAATAAAATTGATCCGAAATCATAGCTGTTTTCTGAAAATCATTACTTTCTTATGTTTTCAGCTTTAGATTTTTTTCCACATAATTTTAAACAAAAACAGAGAAGCTAATTCCATATAGTTTAACAGCTTGAAGTTTTATTTGCAACAATGGAACTGTTACATTTTAAAGTAAGTTTAGGTACTACGTTTATAATAATTGAATAATGGTACTTTTTAATTTCATACTTAATGCATACACACTTCACAAATTCTAGTGTGACTTGCAACTAAAATGTTTAGTCAGTTTAAAAGTAACTTCACATACTGCACCAAATAATGTTTTTGTTAATAAATGACTGAATTCATGCATTGGGCTAAGTCATAAATCATAATTTGCAAATCAAATGTATATTCACACATTAGGCTAAGCCAAAATCAAATAACCCATACAATAGCTTAGGCCAACGTCTGACCCAGTCGGAGACTAAAAAACAGAATCAACATTTTTTCTGCATATCTGATGCTAAGCCATAAAATAAGTTTTAAAAGCAATGATTGCCTTCACACATTGCTTAAGCCTGAAATAAACATGAAGCCTTATGACTTAGTGGAATATTTGAGTCCAGTAATTGAAATTAATGGGACAAAATAATCTGCTTAAGCTACTGTAAGTCCCTTTTATTTTATTTAGTGTACTCTAATAATGGCTAAATCTGGATTCAGTCCTTTTGGTTGAGAGGTAATTTCTTTGTTCACACAAAATTGTCCTTAATAAGAAAAAAGTAAGATTATTTTTCTAATATTAAAAGTGTATTTTCCAATATTAAAGTTTTAATTTTCCGGGAATATGTTCAATAGAAATATTGAAATATTTTTTTTTGTTTTTTGTTTGTTTACTTTTCTTCTCTCTCTGAAATTTCTGAGAACTTTCAAATGAAGCCAATAAATCTCTTGACAGAGGTGAAGAGGTAATGAAATGAAAATGCTTAGGAGGAAAAGCAAAAAAAGTAAAAAATAAAAATGTTAAGAAGAAAAGTTAGGAAGAAGAGAGGAAAAAAAGGAATTTATATTTTCCTTAAGGTGTTATAAAGTATTAAATGTTAATTTTTTTTTAAACTCAGGCAATAGCAAAATATAATAGCCAGCAATCTTTATTCATTAGTAGAGAATGAAAGTTTAAAGCTAGAACATTTAATTCTTATAGGATGCAAAAGGACCATCCATATAACTTTATTGTAGGGCTCAATAATTCAAAATAAAAGGAAATTAATTTTTGCATTGTATTTTAAAAAGATGAAAGATGAAGATGTTGCATATTCATAGCACTTACACTCCAATTAACTTTTCCTCCCTATCAAGTATGCAAGAGATCCTTATTTCTCTAGAATTTCTAGCAACTGTCTGCTATAGATGATTTCCGGCTACGGTCATCTGAGCCTATCACCTATGTCATTTTAAGCATCCTATATTAATAGCAAGAAGACTTTGAGGTTTACGGCAATGAAGACAATTGGGTTCAAACTGTGAGATGTTGAATGAAATATCATAACAAAATAGTAATTATCCCATGAGATCATCAAGATCATACTAATACATAAGGTGCCATAAAAGACTTAGCAAGCCCTAGTATCTTCATATCTATAAACTCACATCCCAATTAACAATATAACTGCAAGCTTACTCACCATCACATAACTTAGGGTTTCCAGGAGTCAGGTTCCTCAAAATTAAAAAAATATTTTTTAAAAAAAAATACAAGTTGTGGTTCTGGCAGTGTGGTACCTTTGCAGAACAATATAAGTAATATAGTTCTTTCATGATGAGTTATAGCAGTGCTCAAGCTGGTCTTAAGTATACCTATCAGGAAGTTTTTCTTAGTGTTTGTCCACTTGGTTGCAGGGCCTATTTATTTTTGAATTAATTGGATTTTTAAAGTAAAGCCATCAATGCATGATGCAAAAAGGATTTGTATTTTTCACCTGGTTGTCACAGAGCCAAACTCTGATTACAGCTAAGAGAGAGTTGACTTATGCCAAATGGAAGGCTAGAATTTGGTTTCCCTGCTTCTAGTCCCGCACTTTAATCACTATACTGCATTGGCTTTCATTCCTGTACATAACACATCCCATTAAAAGCACTGGTACCCATAAGCAAGGAAAAGACTATATTGTAAACCTTTCAGAAATTATTTCAAATTCAGTATTTCACCTGTACACACACTTTTGTTTAAAAGGGACTTTTTGTATATTCTTTTAGGCACTTTTTTATCCAAGTTACCAAGTAGTTTTATTCCTCCTACTTTACCAGATTTCAAATCCTTGGAAAAAAATGAGGTATGTTATGAAGCATTAGCACCCTTAATTTGAAATGGGAACAGAAGTTGGAATAGCAGTTGTAGCACATGATGCTCTAGCCAATTAGATTGTCATTTTTCCAAGATTCACTGCCCTAACTGGAAATGAAAGGTGTTCATAAGGAATGTAGTTGAGGGGAAAAGAATCAACTTTCTCCTGATGCACTGTGTTCCTCATGCAATATTCCTCATGCCCATTAATATTAATTCTGTAAAACCAACAAGAAAAATACTGGATATTAATATTTAATGTGTTTTGCATTGTTGAAAACAACTGAGATTTATTGGAAGGCACTTTTCATAGATTCTTTCCACCTAATACAATTCATAATAATAGAATCTTCTCAATTTCTTTGATATGATTAAGGTTTCAGAAAATTCTCCCATAAATTGTTAGCAACAATATACTTAGAACAGAGATTATTAGCACCATTTTTCTATTTTACCTGGGAATATCCAATGGTTAAAGCATTCAGTTACAATCTAATATGAAGAAAGTAGCTGAAATGTCAGCATAACAAATTTTCTCTGATTAAATAGAATATCAGTTCTCCTTCTTGTTCCTGTAGTCTGTCTTTCACAAGGTTGAGAAAACTTTTCCCCTTGGAAAATATTTAATCAGTGATATGGTTTATATAGTGATACATACACACACACACATATACACACACACACTGTATATATAAACTATATATAGGTCTTTGGTTATTCAGGTTTTCTCCCGCGTCAAATTGGAAGTGTCTTGGCGACGTTTCGACGAAGTCTCATTCGTCATCTTCAGGCTGGTGTTTTCGGCTTCATGCTTCTAGGAGCAATGTGTGATCGTAGCTGTTTCTTCCTTTTAACTGCCAGTGAGGGTTCTTCAATGCATTGAAGAACATAAGAACTCAGTCAAAAAAAAAGGAACCAACTTCTTGCCTGGTCCAACACCTTAAAATCACAGGACATGAAAATGACTTTAAAAAGACCAGAACTATCACCAAAACTGAACATTTTAATAACAGAATAATCAGAGAAGCCATCAAG